CCTACAAATTTTGCCTAAACCATAGTCGAGACGTAAGGCACTATATCTATCTATTTCTTAGGGTATTTCTCTATAGCCATGTGTATCCTAATAATCACAAAGTGACTTCGATCTATGTATGCGCCGACAAAATGAGACCGAAATTGTTTCACTAAAGCACATGAAGGTGACTTCATTTTGTATTTATACAATTTTCTAATTTGCACTTGTCAGCTGGATACTCTACATAACTTACTTGATTAAATATGCCGTGCAAACAATGCTAAAGAACATGCATATATAACGCAGACTGAGACATGGATATAGGTGTAACAACAGCCTTTACAGGTCAAGTGGTAATGCGAAGTGTAAAAATAGATGTTCAAGATGGAATGGGTTGAGGATAGGTTACACGGTTAACTGAGTTTGTATAATAGGGGACTTCAAGTAGGAAAATAATAATAATAATAATGTTGATACAAGGATGATAAGTGAATCGACTAAGTGTCGGTCACCTTACTGAAAACAATATAGTTATGCTGATATAATAAAAAAAACCAGGTGTGTATTGAGATGAATAATAATGATAGCAATTGTAATAGGAATAAGGATTGTTCGACGAAACAAATCAGGGAAGAAAAACAAAAATATAAGGTGGGGGGAGACCCCGTGGAGCTTCATAACGAAACACCTAATGGATTATGGGCATGATGTTGATACCTTTAAGTCTTCAGTGGTTATCAGTAAACAACAAAATAAGAAATTGGTTAAAATTGAAGAGGCCTGCTCGATTCGAGTTGTCTAACAAAACCTCTGCATTCAGAAGGAAATGATAGTCCGCATGAATCTGCCATGGTGGGAGTTACAACATCGTCTAATCATATTCAATATTTCTTACTTGTTCTTCACTCTTAATTATCATCCATCTTAGATTTTTGTTTTCCTTCCCTGATTTGTTTCGTCTAATTAACCTTCTTCCTATTACCAGTGTTTTCATTATTATTCATCTCAATATACACCTGGTTTTCTTATCATGTATCATCAAAGGTACTATTAACTATTTTGTTTCCAGTAACGTGATAGACACTCAATCGATTCACTTCTTAGCCCTGTGTCAACAGTACTATTATTTAAAGCAACTGGTCCCTTTGATAAATTTAAACAGCCTAATGAGAAGACGAAGATTATCTGAAACGTGGGATATATTAGCGCTATAAACCTCGAACAATCTGATCACACATAGGGAGAAGTAATCGTGATATACATTTAAGGTTGAACATGTACCTAAGTGGCTACAAAAACAAACGACCTCAAAAGATCCGATAGGTGCAGGTGACAAATGTCCATCTTCTTCTATTGCTCAACCTATACTAGAAACTAACCATAGGATAGACATGAAAACAGACTTTAAAGTACGACATATAAAAGTGGTCAGAGCCGAGTGCTTAAATTTATTGAAGCTCTTGCCATCCGTAAATTCAAACCCCCTTTATGTATACAAAAACAATTTGTACTCAAGTTAAGCCTACCTTGGTAGTATTAATTTTAATTGTTATACCAAGAGTAAGGTTGTTTTTTTTCTTTTTCTCTCCCTTCCTATTCCTCCGATGTTTCCTATTAACTTCATTGACCCTTTTCGTAAATTTTCACATGAATAGTTTGACAAGTGGATGTGTGATCAGATAGTTCGATAGGTAGTTTTCTTTGTTCACTTCCTACCTCGTAAGTGAAATCAAACTTTCAATAACAGGCATTTCATTAAACATTGAAAAGTTACAGTCTTTTTTCAACCAAATAACAACGACATTCATTAGAAGTAAATTGAATAACTTTGAATGAATAGATAGTTATTAAAGGAATCAGAAATGTTCCTCACTTCAGTCGGTGTACCTAGAATGTTTAGTATGATCAAGTATTAATATATCGGGAACGTGTGTTACGTATTAACGCAATGCACTGCGAATAATCTGGTCTCATACATTCATGTCATGTTTATTTACACTAATTATAACAAACAATAAATTAATGTAAAAAGTAAAAAGTAAAATACACGTTCGAATTGTTTGTTTACGTGGATAAAGGAAGATGGTATATTTATCACTGATATTAAGGCTGAGATACCAAGGCAGGTTTAATGTGGGAATAAATAAAGGAGGCCAAACCTTACTTATGGTTAAAGCTTCAACAAACCTAACTAAATGTCCTCAGTAGGTTTGGTAGATAGATAGGCTGGAAGGATGCGTAAAAAGCAGCTTTACCTGTAGCAGTCGAATTATTCGATTTGATTTGTTATTAAAACTATTTATGAAAGTGTTCCGTAGCTTTTACTTGTGTAAACCGGTGGGTCCTACCTGTGCATGTGTGATGTATTTATCCTTGCGTATAATTCATTTATATATGTTTGGCAAGTAAGCGTATATAATCAAACTGTTTCAAATGAATTGTGCTCATAAATTGGTCATCTCAGATAAATTATATCCTCTTATTGCTTATTCGAAGTTCTCTTTCGTAGAATAACATTTGAACAAAGCAATGTATACATTAAATCACATGTCAGTTAACTGAACGTCTAGCACTATATGATATTTTCTGAAGTCAAAGATATTTTCATCTAGACTACCAAGAAGGCTGTTAATCGTCTCACCTTACCAATCATTCATTTTTGCAGAAAATATTTGTAAAAGAAATATCATTGAAGAAGTTAGCATCATTATCAGTAACAACATAGGACCATGCATTACTGCTTAACGGTCCGAGTTGCCACACCCCATATCAGTACATTTAGTTAAAAGGCAGTGAACCGCAAGATGAAGATAAGAAAATTCAGTCAAAAGAAATATGAAGTACTCAAAGGGAGAGAGAAAGAAAGAATGAGAAAATGGTGAGATTTGGTATAGCGTCAATAAGATGAGGATAATGTATGTATACATTTGCACCACTGACATCGGTTCTGAGACATATAACCTAGAGTCTCCAACCACTGGCTCCTCTTGTCCCGCCGACCCCAACCGACTAGTCTGCATCGCCCCACATGGCTCAAACTAACAGTCAAAGAATTCTTACATTGGTGCCATATTTTATTCTGGCCACTTCGGGCCTTTTTCCAGCCTGGACCTACTTAGGGCAACATTGTGTGATAAGGCAGTTGATGACTAGGCATATGTGACACGTGTCCCAATCATCTCAGTTGATGAAGTTTCACAACCTCATCAACCAACTTACCTCTACTCCCTAAAACTATACCTGCCAATTTCTGAAGAAGTTAGCAGAAAATGTTTATGGAATTCGGAACATACAGCTTATTCACCTTAGTTCTCTCTTCTAATCTTCAAGAGTAATAAATAACTAGTTACATCAATCAGTTAATGATAACTTTAGACATACTTCATCTTCATGTGTTTTCAGATAATTTGGACAATTTCATCAAAATAAATGATTTATTTATGCTACTCAGTGGCTAGCAAAATTTTGCTTGAACTATTTATAAAGCCTTATATGTTACTCAATTATGAAGTCAGCTGAATAAAATATTTAAGATTGACAATTACAATTACATCTATAAAAGTTTTCTTATGACTCAATCAACTGATCGATGAACGTAGTCTTCTACCTGTGTAGATTTACTTTGTCATACTATATGGAAACTGCAGTAAACTTCAATCCTTGCCTGAAATAAAATGATTCATTTAGAAATGAAAAAACTAAATGGTTCATACTAAAATGTTTCACTGCTGCACAATTCTGGCGTCAACAGAGTCTCTGCTGGAAGCTACCTAGTTAAGATAATAATAATACGTGATCTTTGATAAAAGAGTGTCATAGACTAACGAAATATACTGCTGAACAAGTTGAGCGTCTATGAACCATTCAAGTTGATCCATAGTTCTCGCTAGCCAAATCAGATTGATTCAAACACTTGATGGCCATTTAGCTTGTTTGTAGCAGAGTCAACTTATCGGACATGTGACCGGAAATATTCAGCTGACGAAGCGTAATTTTTTGGATCAACAAAATCGACCCAGATGACTTGGATTGATCAGCATACCTTGCAAATTATCTACATGATGTGCAGTTTACGTTGACATTTGATTTCAGCTTTGGTAAGCACTGGAAAACAGTGGGAGATGTTGAAGTCGATGACAGTATGAAGAATATTGTATGGTGTTAATCATCCTCAGGAGTAAAAGTATCACAAAAATTCTTAAGAAACTTCTCCTTATCAAGTCGATACTGAATTGCTTGGTGACAATATGATGCGGAATTCAAATTGGGGGCTAGAGGGGACTTATTGATTTCAAGTTGATATTCGTCATGAACTGACATCAGTTGGAGGAAAATTGGAAACCTGGAAGCACTGGGCAGCTGTTTCGTTCTACTACAGGATTCCTCAGCAGTGAGTGTCCATGACCCCACCATCCAGAAGTAGAACCGTGGACCTTCAGGCCCCGTGGCTAGGACGTTACTATTGAGCCACTGGGTTGGATTTGAGTGATCCATATTTCCAATTTCTGTCAGTTCGCGACAAAGCACGACTATTACTCAGTTTTATCATTGAGTACTTGTCCTCATTTCCCCTAGGTTTGCTTCACTGGTCACGACTTCTCATTGGAACTTCAGGTGATGATAGCGCTACATCGTGAACTGACATGAGTCGGAAGAACGGGCCACTGGATTCTGATCCAGTGGCTCAGTGGTAAAGTGTTGGTCAAGTAATCTGAAGGTTTTGCGTTCAATTTCCGATGGGCGCGGTAATAGGTACGCTCTACCGAGTTCTATATTAGGACGAAAAAGCTGTCCAGTATTTCCAGGCTTTCAGTATTTCTTCAACTGATATCAGTCCATGATAAATACGAATTTTTAGTCCACAATATCTAAAGAATTATCATGTTATTCTGCTCTAATCATTGTTCTTTCTTTAAACAATTCTTTTTGTTCATTAGTTTAGAGTCTCACTTATGGATATAGCTCATTCAGTTATGTTACTTGATAAACTGCAGTACAATAAAACATTCATTACTCACCGTGCACACAGTTGACCACTGTTGTAAGGAAATATTAACACAAAAATTGTAAAAAGTATCCTTATATATATATATATATATATATATATATATATATATATATATATATATATAATTGCCCCAGTAACAGATTTAACGACATTTGATTGGCTTATAGTTTGTTTCAATCCAAACTTCCAAGGTATTGGATAAACAAACGTCCAGGTTAGATCTAAATAAAACTCCATTGTTTATTACAAAGAGATAAAATATACACTACTTGGTTTTAGATAAACCATTTTGTTTACTTCTTATCAAGATCATTTTTTCAGTGATAAATATGTTATTTGTTTGAATAAATAAACTGTTAACATTCACTTCTACTGGTTAATTAATTAATTAACTCTCTAATCCAATGGAAGATATGAAAACTACTTATCACAACTAAATAGTAGTTATATATTGCTAGTTTAGTTGAAGTAATGCGTTTATTTTCTTGATCTAAAATTGTTTATGAGAAAAGAAGGATATGAAAAATTTTATTTTACTTCAACTGTTTATATAAACATTAACTGGTTGCGCGCTAATAAAAAGTATATACTGAGTAATATTTACTTTAGACTATTTGTCTTCGCATATTTTAAGAGAATCTAAATATAGAGATTTGGGTTCAAAAAGTACTTCAGTTTGGAAGTTTATGTGGACGATTGGATTTTGAACCAGTGGCTGAATGATAATTTACGCACCACGAGACCTAAAGGTTTTGGATTCAATCCCTAGCTAAGTCATGGGTGCTTAACACTGCGGAGTCTTATACTAGAATGAAACAGCTGCCCATTGCTCCCAAGTTTTCAATGTTTCTCCAACTGGTATCAGTCTATAGTGAATACCAGCTTGGAGAAAAAAAAGTTATTACTTCATGAAAGTGGTTTTATTTCATTCATGTTTTATAACATACCATTTCATAAGTTTACTTAATGTTCTTAGGAAACGCTTATCTATTTGTTAGTTAATTTGAGACAGTCGGTAGGAAGTCCTGCTTGGTCCTGTTGACCCTCACCAGCTAGGTGTATGTGCAGCCTCGATGGAACTGATGTTTAGCCCTAAGTTCGAACTCACGTCACCCAGAGTTGCTATCAGACATGTTACCACTTAGATATTGTGGTCCTGACTGACCCCATGTAGGACTGGATAGCATACACTAATTGTTCACTGGAGAGAGACCAATCTTATGTTACTGTGTTCAGAGTTCTGGTCGACTGTTTATATTTCCTTACTTCTTTTGGTTCGAGGTAAGTTGTGACCTTCATCTAAAAATCCCATCCTTTAGTATTTGTCCTCACCTTCAACTTGGTTTCTTCCATCCATGACGACTGTTCCTTAAAAATTCGAGAAATCTCACCTCAAAGCAAGTCATCAACATGCATTTATCAATAACCTTAATTGTAGGCTTTTTGTTATTCACTGGTTTTATGTTGGGTCCTGGATTCGATAACTGGAGGGGTCATGCGTATGCATTGCTTAAGAGTCATATACTAGGATGAAACAGCTTTCCAACGCTCCCCAGCTTAACTGGTTCTCCAGCTAACGCTGATCCACGGTGTCCAGTAATTTGTTACGCAGTTGTTAATTTTCCTTATTACTCACTTTTAACGTTTGATTTTTCGGTGATATTCGCTTGAATCTAAAGCTCGCCAAACTGGGAGCAAATTAGACGTTTACGTTGTATGCAAATCAGCTGGTTTCTTTTATGGGATTTGCGGAAAGCTTTTAGGGCACTCTTCTTTTAGCCTCTCCCACATAACTGTTATGCTGCAAATTAAAGTGTTGTCTTAAAACCAGCAATAGTTGATTTTACTTATGCCTTTGGAGCGATCTGTTCTGGATTCTAGTCCTAGTGGGAACCACATCGTTTACTGGATGGTAATTATAGCCAGCTGATGTGTCCCAAATCAGATGAAGCCCGCCTCCTGGATCCCTCTGCTAGTCACTATTTGTCATTCATATAAAACAAACCGACAATATCGAGACGCCCGCTCTAGAGCCCATAGACCAATAAGGACCAACCGCTTCTGTCCCATCCACGACGAGATAATACAAGTGACAACATGCAAACTATATTAGTCGCACAAGAAGTGGTTATTAGAACTCGGTGGTATAGTGGATAACACTCTGGGGTTTGAAGCCATCGGTCCCGGGTTCGAGCCTTAGTTGAGAGTAACATCACTCACTGGGAAGCAGATACATTCAGCTGACGTGTTCTAAACAGGACAAAATACTCTTTCTGGACTCCATTGCTAGTCATTAACCATCAATAATACTGGCAGAGTTGCATATAAAGTCTGCTTAAAAGTTTATCTCATTCCACTATATATTCTCAGTTATATGCAAATGTATCTTAAAGCTACTCAATCAATTCATTTACTTGAATAACAAGATCTTGGATAAATATGTAACCTCTGTTTGTCACATTCTTACATCTTCTTCTTTACTTCCTCAATCGAAAAAGTTTCAGCTCACCTAATAATTTTAATCTTGAATAATATACTCTTATTCGGATGTTTACAGTTTTTTGACCTAAAGATGTGCTTTTAGTCTCTTAGTTTCACTTTACGTAAGAAAGATGATGGATGCTTCATGTATCTACTCATTATTCAAACAGCTTTCAGCTATCATAAATTGCTTACAATTGATGGAAAAAGGGAGAGATAAAATGAATCCATTCATTCAGTAAACATTTGGATTGCTTTTTTCTGTTTAAAGTGATAAAATACACGGTTGATATTGAAATATATCTTCCGTTAAAATCAATTTATCCTCATGCATTAGTTGACTATACTGTATCCATGAATAATAGATGGTTTGTTTACAGTTACTCACCATGAGTATCAACTTAGTCAGATGATTTTAGTAGTCAATACATTATCGGTTTCAAATTGGCATCTATCATGTACCTATATCAGTTGGAGAACAAATTTAAACCTAGGAGTACTGCATCGTTCATATTAGTAACCACGATAACTGTATAGAAGGAAACTCAACTTCTTGTCTTCTATTGACTACCGCTACAAGTGTTCATCTGCAGTGCACAGCTATCAAAAAACAAGTTTGTTTGACTTTTGCTTCTACTCAATTTATATTGCTGATTCACAGCCAAATTGGTGATATCTAATTATTTAGTAATACTTCTGTGTTATTGTGGCACTGGAGTGTTAAGATTGTTTTATATGATCGATACTAATGACTGAGAATGTATTTTTAACACTGTCATAAGACCAGCGCCTTCTAAACACTCAGATGTCATGCACGGTAGTAACTATTTATATTTCTCCAACAATGACAACTCATCGACTAAAATGAGAAACTAGGAGTGATTTTAAAGCCCATCCTAGCAATTGTCGAACTGACGAATCATGTTTCGGTATTTCGGCTAGAAAGATGGGTTTTCTATAAAATAAGGAAACAGTGTTAATTATCTCAGCATTTGTTGGGATAACCTTAAAAGATATTCAAAATTAGCGAACCTTTTCGAATTAACAGTGACTCTAAAGGTCACATTATGGATAACCAGTTAGACTTCTCTATTTTATGAAAATCTTTCTAGCTAAAATGAAGAAACATAGTTGTTTGTTGAATTCGTTGATAGGGTAACCTTTATAATCGCTCGAAATCGCATTTTGGAGTGACTTTAAAGACCAACCAAGCAAAAGCCGAAATGATTATTCTGGTTCTCGTATTTTGAACTTAGTTTTTATAAAATGAGCAGATACAACTGGTTTACACTCCAGTTGTTAGGGTGACCTTTAAAATCACTCCATGTCTTGGCTATCTGTATGTCAAAACAAATTCAGTAATCACCTGAAATGCACTTGACTAAATATCACGTATTTCTTTCTTTGATTCATTTAAACAATATATGACTGGGATAGGTCTCGAGAGTTTGATGAACTGATAAATGTTTTGTCTGCATACGTGAAATGCAGCAATTAACATTTTGTTAATTGATTGTGGATGATGATTAAGTGTCAAATGAGAATCTAGATCTTGGTAGGATTCGAATCAGCTACTATCAGGTCTACCTTTCGGTGCTCTCCAAACTTAGCTGCAGGACCTGAGTACTGGCCAGATTTTCATTTCATCCGACACTGAGTATCAATAAAATTCTGACAAATCATATTTGTCTCAGATAGTTAAACTGGTTTTTCTAATTGTTATTTGATCAGAACATCATCATGAATTTTTTCGTTCAGCAACGACTTTCCCGACCTCATAATTCTTAATGCTTAGTTAAGTTTAGAACACATTGACTTTACTTGCTTGTTGACGTAAGCTGAATGTGAGCTAGAGCTTTGGGATGAATATATCAATATTTTTGACTCTTTCAAACATATTCTCTTTTTTGTTTCTTTGGAAATTCTAAGTCTGAAATTGAAGTCTGTGTTGTTCACTATTGAAGTCCGAGATACCGGAGCTTATTTAGATAATCGTACTCTTAAAATCTCAGTTTATATCACTACTGTCCATAACAACACCTCATGATTTATTTTCCATCATAGTATATAGAAAATACTTGTCAGTTAGAATAAACCACAGCGTACACTTCTTATTTAACCGGTAGTTCATTACAAGCAAAATTAGTGCGAGCAGTATCCAGAATCTAACTAAATTTAGGCAGATATGATATCTCTGTAAGTTACTTAGTTGAGCAAATGACAGTAATCTGAGAGAAAATGTTTAGTATTCATTAGTTAACCCAAGTTTTTAATGTATAAACGATTAAATACATCATGAAACTCAGTAAGGAAAAGTCTAATAAAATAGTTGATCATAATAATGGCAATATCATAAGTACATCTTTGATCATATAAATCTACTCAGGAGCGTTGATTAGCAACGTTTCTTGCAGAGAGAGGACTCGGATCACTGTGCACATTGATTATCTTAAGGGATTTTTAAGCCGATATATATATATATATATATATGTATATAGATATGTTTTGAAACTCATGCTATTTTTCAGTGGTTAACTCCTTCGAGTATGTTCAAAAGATCGAAGATTGACTCTTTAA